TTGAGCTCTTATTCTGTCAGTAGCTGTCAGTTTGTCTTCTTCACTTTGTTCTCTGCTCCATTAGTTGTGGCCTCCACTATTTCTGGATTCTTTGTATTTTTCTTTTTTTAGAATATCCTGCAATACTCTCTGTAGAGTTGAATTGGTGGTTGCAAATTCCCCCAGTTCCTCTTTATCCTGGAAGCACCTTGTTTTTCCATCAATTTCCAGGGACAGTTGTGCAGGATATCTCAATCTTGGCTGGAGATTATTATCTTTCAAAGCTTGAATTATTTCCCCCCACGCTCTTCGTGATTTGATTGTTTGTGCAGAGAAATCTGCTGTAATTCTGATGGGTGCTCCCTTGTAAGTGGTCTGTTTCTTGTCTCTGACAGCTTTTAATATTCTGTTCTTGTATTGAATTTCTGGAATTTTTATTATTATATGCCTGGGTGTTGCTCTGTTTGGGTTGTGGGTAGATGGGGTCCTGTATGCCTCATACATCTGAGTATCTTTACCTTTTGCTAAATTAGGAAAATTCTCCTGGATTATTTCTGTGAGTAGCTTTTGTAGTTCATTTGTTTGTGTCCCTACTTCTTCTTTTATGTTCTTAATCCTTAAGTTATGGATCCTCTTATCATCTTCTTGTCTTTGTATTATTGCTGTTTGTTTCTTTGTTATTTTTAAGAAGTTTTTCATTTCATTCTCCCATATTACAATTCTGCCCTCCAGTTCAGATAGTCTGTCCTTAGTTTCTTTCAAGCTGTTATGCAAGTCTTCGATAGACTTCTTAGTTTCTTGGTAGTCCCTTTGAACCTACTTCACGTATTCTATGCTTTCCCTGTTTTCTCCATCAAACAATTCTCCCCTCTTTTTCTGTTCTTCCATTCTACCATCTGTTTTTTCTTGGGTGGGGCTTAGCATTTCTCTAACTATTTTGCATACTTCTAGCTTCAGGTCGTTGATAACTTCATTCCTGAATTGGTCTATGAGGCTCTCTATATGGTGCTTTATGTGTATTGGTGCGGTGTCTGCTATTGCCTGTTTCTCAGAACTGGGGGCCGAGGAGTCTTTCTTGTTGCTGCCTCTTCCCATATTCTCTGTTCCTTATATATGCAAGCTTATATGAGAGGCCCAGCTTCTCTCCCTGTCAGCCACAGCCTGATCGAATTGCGCCGGTTAGGTGTTCCCACTCACTGCTGCGCACCAGGCAGCCTACGCGGGGGCCCGCCCCTCCCGGCCTCCGTCAGGCTCTGGGATCTGGTTTGGGCCAGCCTACGGGGTCCACCGGCAGCGTCACCCAGGCCAGGCACTTTTCACCAATCCCGCCCGAGAGGGGAATGTGTGGCTGGAGTCGCCACCGCGCCCTGCTGCCCAGAAAGTCCGCTGGAGTCAAACTGTGGTGGAGTGTCAGTTTCTCTCACTCACCTCGCCACAAGTCAGAACATGCCTCCCTGCCCGTCCTGTTTTCAACTCCGTTCGCAGACTCCCGTTCTCAGAGTTTCCGCGCGTCTCTCTCCTTGCCGAGCTGATGTAGAGGCAGTCAGCCGCCGCACGGCGGGAAACCCAAATCGCGGCTTCCAATGGCGTGGGGTCCAGCCTCAGCAGCGAGGCTTTTCTGTTCCTGTTTTAGCACCAGGACTGCATTCCAAGTTGGTTTCTCTCAGCCGAGTTCGTTCCTGAGTCAGCAGAGCATATCTCCACCTGCTTATGTCTCTTTAGTCCGCACCATACCTGGCTTCTGAGCCTAGTTTTTCAGAGAGCCTCCGGTAGTTGCTGTTATCTGTCCGCCATGTTCTCCCGGAAGTCCCCCAAAGCTGAATTCTAATGCACTATTCTGACGGAAGGGCGCGGACAGGCAGGGTGTGAAGGACACACAATACATGAGGTATCTCTGTGCCTCTCTTTCAATGTTAGAACCTAAAACTCTTCTTAAAAAACAGTCTGCTTAAAGAAGTGTAAGTTATACAAATTAATTTGTTTTCTTAGTATTTTTGATTAATCAACCTCTGAAAATCTGATGAAGCTATGAATGAACTCCACTCTTGGCCTGATTTTGAAAAAAATTCAAACAATTTACACATAAAAATTAAATATTATTTTGATTTATATTAAAATATATTTAGATAAAATTTTAGTATATATTAGATACAATATTTTGTTGCATTAGAAATTGATATCTTAACAGTATATTAAATACAAAAACTGAACTGTTACGTAATTTTAAACCAACAGTAATGGAAATTTTTTTAAAAAAATATTAGTCAAAGTATATAATTAAAAAAGATAAGCTGGGATTTAGCTCAGTGACATAAGCATCTGCCTAGCAAGCATGAGGTCATGAGTTCGAGCCTTGGCACACACAAAAAAAAAAAACCAAACCCCAAAAAACCCTAAAACTACATCTTTAGAAAAAAAAGATAACAAACTTCAGTTCTATACCAAAGAACATATCAATTATAAGGGTTGATTAGAATAAAGACGTCATATAAGATAACATGAAAATCATCTTTGATAACTAAAAAAGGCTGTGCCTTGCAGTCTTGATGGAAAGAGGCAATGAGAAAGGTATGTGGTAACCAACATAATCAGGCTCACACACCTCTTTGCCAGAAGATGCTAGGCTAGTTATGCAAGGACCTGAGGATTATCTATGACTCTTAGAATTGAATTCATATCATGCTTTAATGTGATATCATGAGGGAAAAGATTGCAAATCCAAGTTTCATTTCTGAGGTTTTCTGAGTAGAGGTCATCTTTAAGAGTTCTGAAGTGCACATGCCTGCAGAGAAATTGGCAGAATCTTTCATTCATGAGTAGCCTACAAAATACTTCTCCCAGCAGTGGAAAATTCACATGGTTCTCCATTTCAAATTAGCTAACTCAGAGTGACAGCTTAGCTAAAGGGTTTATGATCTTTCTGCCAAACCTATGATAATGACTGTAAGCTCTTAAATTAGAAGATTACACTCATTCATAAAGCTCCACATGTCCTCGAGTATTTCAAGCCACAAATAAACTCTTCCTGAACTAATCTGTTTTTCTACTAAAAAGCAAAACTCTTTGTCAAAGGCTTATGCAAGCAAAGAAATTTTATTTTGATCCTTTCTATTGATAAAGTCCTTGTTCTCATGAAATTGACTACTTGTGTGCTGGCAATCCAGATTCATTCATTAAGACTGCTGGAAGAGTCTTCAATGCCACTCTGTGCCAGTGGGAAAAAAGCGATGGTTATTACAACAGGCAGAGCTGCTTTCTCTTCTGAGGCAATGTAAGTATCCATGTTGCTAAGTTTGGAAAATGTACCATCTGTGCAGAAAGTACCAAGATCTTCCTTATAGGATAAAAATATTCCTGATGTGGTTTTTTGGCAAAGAAATTTAATGCTTTTTCAGAGATGCTGATAGCTATTCATGTTAACAGCCTTTCCAATTTCCCCAAGAGAAGCTTATATTAGGGATTCTGAGGGAGATTGTGTCAACAAGCACATTAACAGACAAAATCTAGGAACTAACTTCACAGAGCAAAATCAGTTGTTTCGCCAAGTTGCTTTAGTGAGAATAATTGAAGATACTTCCCTTAGAATTTACTCCAAAATACTAAAGAAAAAAATAACAGCAATCATGGGATGGATTACATTACCGGAAACTTAATATAAATGTGCTTCTACTCCAAGCTATACAGTTCAAACACTGTCAGCATATAAAGCTTAAAGTTCTTTCCAATTTCAGGTGGCTGCTTTTCTTGGCAATCTTCCAGAACAGGTTTCTGTGATGGAACAAGTTTATGTTTTGTAAGCTTTCAAACTTGTATTTCTACTTACAAAAGAAGTCCAAACCATCATATATATATCTCCACATAGGAAATTTTACATATAACTTCATAATAGAACAGATTTCCTCAAATCAAACCATAGAATTCCTAGTCCCACGAACCCTACTTGGGACTGTTGTCCTTTAACATACGTATTAATTGGTAATATATCAGTGTTTTATGTCTTCAAGAAATAGGAGAAAGAAAGTCAGGTGAAACTTTCCTTGTTTTGATTCTGGCCTGTTTTCCCTTTTCAACCTTCCCATACTACAAGTGAGTAACCACAAAAGGATACCTGCTTCAAGCTTTGAGGATTCTGACCAAACTGCCTAAACAATCAGATTACCAAAGAACTTCGGAGGAGGATACTAAGGATAAAATCTATAATGACTGAATGCAGAGAATTCTAGGATTTTCAGGATTCATGTTCTGGTCCTCTTCAGTTTTAGGTGTCTTGTAAATTTGCAGAATGCTCTTTCAGTGGCTCCTATGGCTGTAAATTAATGTTTATGAAGTTGACATTTAAGTTCTATCAAACTAAAATTTACACTGAAGAAACTTCTTTAGTAATCAACCTATACTAAGCAACCTAAAATGCACATGTACAATATTGGTAGGAGAAACAGCAGTGCGAGTTGGAAGCACCCTCCCGCTCCACCGCCACTGAAGCACAACCACAGCTGGGGTCTGACTGCCAAGACAGTGAGGACTGCACGTGGTCCCCAAGCACCTGTTTGTCCCTCTCTACATAAAACAGAAGTATAGCCCTGAGCCTAAGGGAAGAGTAAGACAAGAAAAAGCAAAAGATTTGAGACTCTCAATTGCTTCAGTGCAGGCCAGTACCACAAAGGGGTGACAGTGTTTGGTCATTAATCATCACGTGAGAACCCAGTGGCTAGGAAATGCAGATTGTGTGATGCGCACACTAACTCTGTCTCCAATTTTAAAATGTGAGTGAGTGTTCTGTAACCTATGAAGTCTTGGACCTATTTGTTTTCCTTCTTGGTTTTCCCTCTAAATCTACTAGTTCCTCATTCAAATTTTATTTTCCATGTTTGACCATTCTCTTTCTGACAGCAAACCCACCTTAAGTGGAACGGTATGTTTTATAAATGTGTATGTGCACTGGAGAATAGGAAACAGTGCACTAAGGAGGGGAACAACAACAACAAAAAAAGATTTTTAAAAATGGGTTTGCCACCACTCACCATCAGAGGGCACAACAGTACTGCAATAAACAGCTCCCAAATTCTGCCAGGAAGAGAGCCTCTGGTGCACCTATAAAAACAAAAGACACATCCATGATCAGGACAGAACAACAAATGTTATACCTGTAAGTGTGCACAAGAAAAAAAGTAGCTTTTGAGGACATACATAAAACATCTTCTTTGTAGAACAGTTTAAAAATACAGGCAAAAGAAACATTTTCTAACTTCTAACACGCTGAGATGTTAATGGTGAATTCTGTGGTGTACTTTCAAGATTAGTTACAAACATGTTTGCATTCACATATAGAAATACAAGCCTGGCATGGTGCATGTCTGCAATCCCAGCACTGGGGAGGCTGAGGCAGGAGGATCACTGTGAATTTGAGACCACTCTGGGCTACATAGTGAGATCAAAGCCAGCCTGAACAACACAGGAAGACTCTGTCTCAAAACAAACAAACAAAAAATGTACAAAAAGTAACACTAAACAAAATTAGAACTATACCTAATAAATCTTCTTTAACAACTTCTAAAACCAATGTGGTTTTAAGTGCCATTGAGTCTAAACTAAATTTTCTTGCTTCTTAGCTTAGACCTATATTTCTTTCCTATCTTAAACCAGATACAAGACAACTACTATGCAGCCGTATCATGGATTTATATTACCTGAGTAGGTAGGGTTCTTCTTGGTCACCCTCTGTTTTTTAAAACTTGGATAGACAAACTTAGCACTCGAGTCTTCAACCACCAACACTTGGGAGTGTTAGAAAGAAATTATACACCCACCTCACTTTTACCACTTCCTCAAAGAGTGGTGTCACTGTGGCTATGGATCCGGAATTTAGTAATACATATTGCTAAATACGGATTACTAACACGTATTTCTAAATATTCTTAAATATGTACAATGTATTACATAGTGATACACAATCTGGAACTTAGTAACACATATAATTAAACTAGGTTTCAAATTGAATACTGCATACATTTCTGACATGCCAAATACTTTTTTTTTTTTGTATTATGTCTGTTTCTCTATGCCAAATACTCTTAGTACCTTTGATTTCCCAGCACCAAAAAATATCAAAGATGGGAAAGCATTAACTGACTAAAACCAACATGTAAGCTTCAGAGCTTGCTACCTTCCACTACCTCAGCCTAAACAAATCACTCAGGACTGCGTGACAATTCACACCTTCACACATGGCATATGGCAGATCTACATCCTTTATGTGAATATCATGAATCTCTATATCCTTCCAAATGAAAAGAACCGGTAGAAATGTGAAAAATAAAAAATTTATTTTTTAAAGGTACATAAATGATTTAAAATTACTTGAAACTCGGTCCAGAGCTAGTTTACTTTTTCAAGTTTAAATCTCTGATTTATTAGGAATTAATGTTAGTCAAAATTAAAAAGTAGAACTCCAACTAATTTCCCTGTAATGATAACACAGCTGTCTCATATAGTGAATAATTCTTTTCCTTACTCATTTGAAATACTATCTTGATAATTTTCCAAATACTTACATGAATTTGGATCTATTTCTGAACTTACATTCTGACAAATGATCTATCTGCTTATGCCATAGTAACTATACTGTTTCAATATTCTAGTTTTGTAACTTATTTAAATTCCTGACGAGTTTTCCTTTAGTAGATTTCTTTAAGAATTTCCCTGGCTAGTTATGTTTGTTTCTCCATATGAATTTAGAGTCAGTTTATCCAGCTGCATACACATGCACACAAAATCCTACTAGTTTCCAGAAACAGTGTAACATAGAAGCTGAAAGCCCGCATCTGAAATCATGCCGCTGAAGTTGAGACTGTGCTTCAGTAACATAACTCTAACTGCAATCTTGGGCAAGAATATCAGTCACTTTGTGTCTTGGTTTCTAAACTGAAAAATGGATAGGTGGGCTTGGTGACGCATACCTGTAATCTCAGCACTCAAGAGGCTGAGGCAGGAGGATTGCTGCAAGTTTGAGGCCAGCCTGGGCTACAAAGTGAGTTCAAGGCCAGCCTGAAATGCATAGTGAAATCCTTTCTCAGAAAAAAAAAAAAAAAGGTCCAAGGATAAGGTTCAGCAGCATAGTATATGCCTGGCAAGCATGAGGTTGTGAGTTCAAATCCCAGTATTGCCCCAAAAAGACAGAATAATACTAACACCTACCACATAAAGTCAGAGTAAAGACTAAGTAACACATAGAAAGCATTTAGAACAATGCCTGGCATTAAGTGTATTTTCCACAAACATTAGTGTAGTGTGTATTTTATGTTGAAATCATATTACATACATGCATAATAAAGAGGGAAGTAATATCTGTATAATATTGAGTCTTTTTAGCCATGACTTTTGTAAGTGTTGTCATTTAAGTCTCAGTTTGTATCCTTGAGAAGCATTTTAAAATTTTTTCCTATAGATTTTGTACATTCTCTTCATATAATGCTTCTTATACAGTTTTGTCCAATATTAGGATCACCATTCCTGCATTTTTAAAATGTGCATTTGCCTGTTACGTCTCTGCCTCTAAACTTTGTTATCCTTTTTGAGTTTATTTTAGGAATGATTCTAAACAATTTTCTTTGTGATCTCTTCTGGGAATCCTTTAATAGGAAATTTAGCCTACCAAACATTTATTTATTTATATCACATACATATTTCATTTCCTCAATTATAAAATTTTACGTTGTTCTTTGTTTTATTGCTACTTTCCTCTTGAAAAGCTTACTGAATGGTGTGTGCTTGCTGTATTTTAGATATACCTGAATTCCTTCATACGATATGGAAGGTTACTTTTTATTCCAGTAGCCATTTCAGAGTCAAAGTTCTTCCAGTGGCCGTTGAAGGCCTCCTGGTATCTGAGGGCCTGTTCTCTCTGTGACGTCATCTCCCATCACTCTTCCTCTCTGTCACTGTAGTTTAGGCCCTGTAGACTTATCCCTGTTTCCTGAGCAGCTACATGCTTGCTTCAGGAACTTTTCTATTATCTCTGCTTAGAATACTTCTTCTCCAGATTACTATTTGGCTCCTTCACAGCCTTCAAATGTTCCCTCGAACTTCTGATTGAGGCCTCCTTTGTCTACCCGATTTAAAACAGTCTACAGCCTTTGTAGACATTATCTCTTAACAAATTACTTACTAATCATTATGTTTATTGTTTGTCCTTCTTGATCCATAAAGCAATAATTTGTGTTTGTTTTGGTCACTGATACTGTTTGCCAAGTAACAAGTCTGCATTGATTACATGTTGAGTAAGTACATTTTGGTAACTACCATAGAACTTTGAATAAGATATAATTCCACTGAAACATAAAAATACCTTTATTATGAATAATAATGAAGTTTTGCTTCTTTTTTCTCTTCCTCTATCATATAGTTTAGTTTACTTCATCATTTCTCTTAAGAATTTACCTGTCTGTCACTTCAGCTGGTATCACCTATCTATGTATTTCCCCACCCACTTCTATCCCCAAGCTTTTACTGGATTTGATTTAAATGACAACTTTTGATGGTTAGTTACAAAACATGACCATATAATTTCTGCGCCTTGGCCTCTTGATTTTGTTAGCTATATCGCTGTACTGTCAAGCTTTTAAAGATGCACACTCTGCCCTGTAAACCTAATTACATTTGTTTCAGTCTTAATTCTATGGATCCCATGCTTACTGCCAATTCTTTAGCTGGAGTTTCTGCTTTCATTTCTTGGTTGGCTGAATTTCTTCCTATAGAAAGGCTCATGAGACCTAGGTTTCCTGAAGCTTGGCATACTAATTCTCAAATTAATCTTTCCATGAAAATTTGGGAAAGACTAGAAAGGGTAAATACCTAAGCAATATTAAAATACCAAAGGAACCAGGTAACTTGGTTCTACCACAGGCCACTGAAAAGAAAATAAAAGTTTATACTTTTGATGCAAGACAGACCCCTTCTTTGCCCAGTACTGTAACTTAAGAACTTCAAGGAAAAGCAAAAGCTTATGGTTAAGTTCAAGGAATATATAATGTCTGCCCTTTCGTACAACTATTTCCCTTTAACCTAACTACAGAACAAAAATTAAATGCCAGGGTTATCAACTTGGAGAGTATAAAACAATATATGTATATTTCTCAAGTCACAAAATTCAAGCCAAAAAAGAAAAAAAACCTTTAGTATTATAAGGGAACATTTCATGTCCTAATATAAAACTGTTAAACTCAAGTCAAAATTTACTTTGCAGGGTAGGAGTACAATTCAGTGGTAGAATGCTTGCAGAGTGTGTGTGAAACCCTGGATTCAATTTCTAGCAATGCAAATAAACAAAATCTTACTTTTAAATCCTTTACTAATATCATCAATTATGGAACTTTCCCTTTTCACAGTTCAGAAGAGCAAATTCAGCAGCATACTCCTGCCAGCAACTTGAAAAGACGAGTCAAGTCTAAATAAGGTGTCAATACCTTAAAATGCTCATAGCCAACTAGCCAGGAGATGGGGGGGGTATTTCCTTATTAACCTAGTTCCCTTTATTTGTGAAAATACTGGGATCTAATTTCACTAGGTCATAAATATCTAACAACTTTATCAAATTATACCAAAACATATTAAGTACATTAAACTGCTTTAGATGCAATAACTATATATATTTGTTCAAGGCTGGACCGACATTATAAATAGCTTCACTATACCAGATTAGATATGTAAATTATATCCTCTGCTGCATGCCCTTTAAATGCTTATAAAAATGGATCCTTTAATGTTTCAAAAGACCAGATTATTCTTTTTTTCAGCAATTTTGCCAAACTTAGCTCCGGAACCCAGAGTTTATAACCACGCTGTTAACAGAGCAAGCTATTTCAGTTGGTCTAACCCAGGAAACACTTACAATAATTCTTATGCTGTAGAATCAGTTTCCTCCATATTCTTAGTACAATGAAACTATAGAAGCATGAATACTTTTTACCACTTGTCTTCTACCGATACTCGTTTAGAGATCTGGGAGAGGATGAAACACTGAAGTTAGAAGATCTGGACTCGGTGGTCAGCTCACTATCTTCAATTTCAACTCCTAAGACTCAGTTTCCTCATCT